AATAGACTATATTGTATTTTTGTAATAATAGCTTAAGAAATTCATAGTTAAACCAAACATTACAAAAATGCTTTGTTTTCAAAATATTTAAAAGAGAAAAGCAAAAGACAAAAGAGAGAAGAAAAAAAAACTAACAATATAACAGTAGTAAGAAATTATGTTTGATATTTAGGAGGTATTGGAGGTGGTAAACCCATGACGTCTACTTTTATAAACATTGGATAAATTTTGTAAATTGAGAAAGCCATGACCAAAGTTAATAATGACAGCCAAGAGATATAAATAATGTCTCCTAAAAAATTGTCTATAAGTGGAATAGAAAAAGATTTTAACATAATATCTTTAAAATATTCATCAGAGTTAATTTGTTTGGTTATATGAAAGTTTGGCACCACCGAGGTCCAATTTTTATTAAGGATTTCTGAAATATTGTTAAAATAAAATTTTTCTATTGCTTCCGGGTCATCATGTTTAATTTTTAGTGATTTAATATTGGTCCAAGAAATAGGCAATATTCTTAATATTTTTAGAGTATTTTTGTTAATTTTTTCACAAGGGTACATTTTAGGGATTAAAATATTATTATTTCTTATTAATTCTTGTTCACAAGACAATGTTATCTTAATTAAACCCGGGTAATCATAGTTTATATCTAATTCTGTTTCAGTATAATTGTTGTCATTAAAAGTTCTGACTTTCAGATTAGGTTGAGGATTAGTTATAACAAAACTATTTACTCCTATTTGTTTGATAATAATATAGTCATTTTCTATGTGTTTAATACATTGAAAATAACAGACTTGATTGATTTGTTCTAATGGTAAATTTTTGTAAATCGCCTCCACACATCTTGGTGAGAGTGTTACGTCAGCGGAAAATTTTGGAATAAAGCATAAATCAGTAACCGGAGGATCGCAATGTTGTAACCCGACACCAGAAACAACTCTATGTTCATCGTTAAACTCATTAACTGCAATGTAAGTTTTTTCCGAAAAGATTAGACAAATGGAATCATGGAATTTGAAATGAGCGGGTATATATTGAAAAAGTTTCCACATTGAATTACTCTCTTTGATGGGAATTTTTATTTTTAGTAATATTTGGGTTTCCGAAAACTGACATTCAGCAATAGGTAAATTGTAATAAGAATGTAAATTTTTTATTGGAATAACTAATTCATAACCGTCTTTATTTATTGTTTTCTGTAATTTCAATAAATCTTTGTAAAGTATATCAGTAGATAATACTCTTGGTGGAATTTTGTTATTTTTACAATGTAAATGTGCATTAGACATTCTTTCATAATCAATTAATTTAGAAAAAACAGACATTATAGTAAAAAGTATTTCTTGTATGCCTTGAATTGAATTATTTAAGTTATTGTCTTCCAACATTGCATTATTTCTATTTTCATCATTAATTTTTTGAAACGCCGTTTTTAATAATTCGATCTTAATGTTAGTATTAGAAGTATAATTATTAAGTTGTGAAGTGATATCATTAAGGTCTTTGTGGTCAGAAGTAAAAACATCTTTTAATTTATTAAATTGATCTTTTAAAATTTGTTCATTAGAATAAAAGTTTTTTAGTTGTTTTTCGGTAGCAACATTACAACAAAAATGAAACCCATTACCCAAAAATTGAATGCCCCTTTTTGATCTTTTATTGAAATTGAAATCATTAAGATCCAATTGATTTTCCCACATATTTTTGTTAATATTTTTTAGTATAACTAAAGATTGGTTAATAATATTGCAATAATTAGTATCTTTGTTTTTACAATAGCCTTCTACAGCTAATGACTCACCCACGTTTGTTTTTTCTTTTTCTAAAATAATCTGAGTATAAGTTAATGGAATACTTTTATCATACATCATTGCCTCTTGTATCTCGTTAAAGAAAGCACCCGAAGATACTGATACCTTAATTCTCTCCATAAATATATTTTGGCAAGTTATAAGTAACATTCCCCAGCAAAACCACATTCTAAAAATTAAATAAAAGAACATCATATTAAGTTAAATTTGGTATTAAAAATTTTTCTCCTAAATTAACTATTGCAAAATTGAAGAGACACCTAGTCATGGCTACGTCAACTTCAGGTATATGAGGTAGACCATGCTTTTTATCACATATTATTCTATGTGCCTCTTCTAATTTAAGTAGGTGCCCATTTTTTTTAAAATAACCCAAATCAGAGCACGAGACTCTTAATCTCGGGGTCGTGGGTTCGAGCCCCACGTTGGGCGCCACTTTGTTGTATTTATAT